GGACGTGTCCGCCGGACGTCTTTATTCTAATATATCATACAGATAGGTATAGGTACTGTATTACTTTACGTATTATATTATTATATTTCTCGACCGTCCGCGCGTGCCGTTTCTACGTTTATTCCTACGACGGTCGTTCTTCCCACCGCCGCCGCTCATTACGCGGTCGCCGGTCGTACATAATATACATTATACACAGCGCGTCGCTATTAAAATATTAACACACACAGCTACGAAACTGGTACCGGCACTTCCGCCGAATATATTATTATTATTATTATTATATATACTATTAGAAAATTATTGCGAAATGCGAATAATACGAATTAATTTTTATAGGTACGTCCGGGGACCGGGGTGCTTCTTATTTACGTACACGAAACGTCGTCGTCGATGTGACTGGCCACTGCCATACCGTTGTTCGTGACCGCCGTCCATGCCATGGAATAATAATGCCTCATAGGTATAATATTATAATATTGCATATTATAGTCTCTGTGTAGTGTGCATGCCCGCGAATTCGTCGTAATTCGCTGATGTTAACGTTCGCACACATATTGTAATAAATAATAATATATTGGAGTGTGTACCAACTATATAGTCTATATTATACAGTAGCAGTGTACCTAATACCTACATACGGTATTGTTGTTGTTATTATCAGAAATTATACCTTTTACACGTGGTTTGATTGCCTCTGCAATTTACCTGTCGTATCTATTTTAGCTATACCACCCCTCTGACTTCTCCGCCGGTGATGAAGCACAATACACCCGGCGACTTGTGAGTAAAAACATTGAGGTCTTGAGGTGGCATTCGTATTTTTAATATATATATATAGGTACAAATATCATATTATGTAGAGTATTAGAAACGGCATTATAATATTATATTATTATGAAATGTGGGTATAATAATTATTAGCTGACCGAGGAGAATACGTTTTATCGTCTTCTTACCACCACGTGTTAATGATAAATGATAATTATTATTTTTAACGGTGATTCTTTTTTGTCGACGACAACATTTTTCACCGGAGATTGGCGTACACTCGGAAATTGGTTTCGGTAATTTGATTCCTTCCCACCGGAGCCCGACCAAAATCACATTTACGCACCACCGTTGCTATTCTATTATGTATTTATCAATTTTTGGACGTGCATTTTTTCTCTCATTCAATAGTCAATACCGATTTTATTTCGTTTTACATGATCGAATGACCATTCGTAATTCGTGGGCATTAAAAAGTTCAGAAATGTAGAGGGATATTAATAGTAATGAGTTTATACACGTGGACAAAGTGGTCATTTTTAAAATACAAACAAAAATATATTTTATGCGTTTATGTGTAATATAATTTGTAATTTGTAGGTACTGGAAATTACGATTGAAAAGTAATCATATTATAGATTTTAAAATACATGTAAAAACAATTAAAAGTTCGCTACAGTGTTTGATCTGCTATTTGATGTATTCTGATTAACAATATCGGGGAATTTTTGGAAAAATACAAACAATATTAAATTATAGAAAAAAAAAATAATATTCCTCCGTTGATAATTAAATCAATGTAGAGCATCCGTATATTTTTAGTGTATGGTAAACAGTTTACTCCGTAACTTGTACCACGAAGTACGAACCTAAACTAACCTAACCGTAAAATGTACTCAGTTGAAAATTATTATTAAATTAATATAAATTATAACATAATCACATACATGTATAATAATAATATTTTATAATAGTCGTCGTGACTCCGATTAGACACAATTCACACATTGGTGGTTAGTCGTATCGGTGGAAATGACAGGGTCGTCAACGTATATAGTGTACTGCACATGTTACACAATTCACACAATATTCAGTGTATAATAATAAATAATAATATAAAGTTGACCACGACGCAAGAATGAAATTCCCTCTTCATTTGTTTTATACCTACTGTAGCCGTGTGCCCGTGTACCTCACCATGTTATATTATCATTTAAGTATTAAGTGTTTGTCATTAGGTATCATGAAGTAAAAAGCTAATCGACGACGACGTTTACATCTAAACATTGTATATGCCTACCTACATCATCCTGGTGCTACGGGATAGGTACTGAACATAATATTATATTATATCATTGCATTAGTTATATTTTATCAATGTATATACTGCAGGCTGCAGGGGTACATTATAATAATCAGCGTTTTTCTAGGACTATTCTTATATCGATAACATTTGTTTTACCCTTGCGTATTTTGCGTACACGGTGCTGGACATCAGCCATGTTTGATTTCGCACACGCCCACATGTGCGCGCCAAACCCCACCCAGAGGGGGTGAGAAATGAGAATGTGAGATATTACCTATTATTATTATTATTATTATTATTATTATTATATACATATAGGATGTCGATGTGTGGCGTGTGAGAGCCAGTTCTGACGCAGCTGCAGTTTTAATCGCACGCGTACGAATCGTATGTATAATAATAATTGAGTATAATTGAGTATAGTGGTGTATGTGTATATATATGAGTGTAAGTGGAAAGACCAATATTTGTTTGGCTATTAATTAAAAACGGAGTCCGATAACGCTCGATTAAAACGCTATATTATATCTACCTATGATTATGATACCGAAATGGTGGAGTAGATACAACGGGGGAAAAAATGAGTGTTTCTATTAAAACATTTTTGCTCATTTTTAAAAATATTCAAATATAAGTGTGTACTATATTATATACATATTTACTTTTTAATAAACGTCAGGATTAAATGGAGCAAAAAAGCGGTGCCTGGCTACTTGTTGATGATATTGAATTTATCAGAGAATAATTGGAAACTTTTTCGTTCGTTTTTTTATATAATTTTTTTTATGCGACAACGCGGGTGTGCCTGCGAAACGCCCTTTTTTTCCAATATCTGTTAAAAGTAAATAACAATAAAACGACCAATGAGTTGACAAGGGTCCGTGCTCACAGCCACCGTGGTCGTCGTTGTAGGGAAAAATCAAGAAGGTTTTTTTTTCGTATTTCGCCGCTCTTTTTATATTCATAAAAGGGGGACACTTTTCTCCGAGAATATTGAAGGGAAGAAAATTAACGGGAATGAATAGCTGTTAATGATGGACCATTTTTCGAAACGTGATTTATTCGGGAAATGCGAAAAAAATGATTATATTTTTTTCGTGTTAATTTCATTCCATTTATTTATTTAGTTTTTTTCCACTTGTAAAATTGTTGATGCTCTCACTGCAATCTTTTTTTATGGACTATAGAGGGATATATTTACATTTCAATTTTCAAAGCTCAAACGCATTATTTATATAAATTTCATCAGCGGATCGCGTATCTGCAGCTCTGTACGCCTACGATAGTACGTTGGTTACTGTTATTATTCACACATTATTATATTATGTGTTCGTGTAATAATAATTATTAATAATTCGTGAATTACGGCTGACCTAGATTTTATTACAATAATAATAATAATTAATAATTGTTGTTCGCTTATCGATGTGTTTGGTTTTTAATGAATTATCCGTACTTGACGCAGTTTGGTCGTAAAAGTAAAAAATAACAATAAAACGTTGCACACGTTATTAGCAAATAAATCAATTCATATCGTCTAAACAACACGAGATATAAACATGGCTCTGCGGCGATCGGGGAGATCACGCCTCACGTCCACCACTGATAAAGTTGCACATCGGTTCACTGACACGGCCCGCGACTGTGTTCGAAGTTAATCTGCGGTCTTTATCTCGTTCAATTAAATAAAGACTATAATAATATGTTCGTATTAACTTTATAATTTATATTGTACATATAACATAATATACAATAATATAATATGTTATCGATACGTGATGAGAATGCTATTATATTATATACGCGATGTAAACAGTTTTGTGAAGTGCACGTCGTCACCGTTGCACTAGACTATACTAGAGCATAGAATGTTTTATTGTACTGCAATGCATTTATAATTGCAGCGCATTATGCCATTATATAATTCGTATTATCACAGTGGAGTGTCGGACGTCGTATAATTATTTATAATGAGAACTTTTCCATCAATAACAAAAATTGCAATAACAACGTAGAAATAATTTGAGAGATTAGGTACCTGGGTATTCAGTTTTTATTTTTTAAAAGACAAAGCCAGGTGGTAATTCGATTAGTAAAAACGTCGGCGTGACTATTTTGTAAAACTTATCGGTCGAAATGTATAATTAAAACTCCGTCACCGTTTCGGCTTTTAGGAAAATATATATATTTTTTTTCACAAATCCCGAACCAGAACACAACGGTACATTTTTACGAGCAGCGGGTGGAAAGGCTTTTCAAAAAGTTTGAATACATAATAATATAAGTGAATGCGCCCGAGAAAATGTCGAACAGAAAAAACATCTACTACCGATGATGGGCGCGGGGTGAGTTCCACGAGGTGATAGAGAGCTGTTTGACAGGAGGAGAGGGTGCAAATTGGTTGGATATGATTGGAAATTCATGGGCTTGTAGGAATTAAAAACAATATAACAACTTTACTCGACTTTCTTATTGTGTTTTACCTCGTCGTCACAGCAGAATCAGTATATATAGTTACACTACATTCTATAAAGAATTTTTTATTTTTATTTACTTTTCTTCGCAATCACGTTATCCCTTTATTTTTAGTTGCTTCCAAAAATCCATTTCCTATAATTACAGTTGGAACAGAGGGCTGTGAAATTTCGGCAACTTACGCGCCGCACCCTACCCAGATACAAGTGTTATATATAATTTTTGCTCGTTCGCTATTTATTGCAAGTATAGTTTATTGTATAGTGATGTAATTTTAAATCCAAGCTGACAACTTTTCTATCGAACTCTAATCGAATTGCACCTTATCTATATATCGTCCCATATTATACTATTATTTAAAATTACATATCCTATACGGTTATTTAACAATTAAATACTCGGCATGTATATAGTATACTATAATATTTTATGATATTTTATTCAGTACCTGTGTGCAGTCTGGTGTGCTGTTGGACGTGGCTGAGCTGTTTGAATCGGCGCTCGCAGTAGGAACACTTGTACGGCTTTTCGCCGGTGTGGACGCGAATGTGCTGGACCAGCTGGTGGTTGGAGCTGAACGACTTGAGACATTGCTGGCACTGGTGTGGTTTGCTCACTTCTAGGCCACTTCCACTTAACGAACTACCACCGATGCTGCCTGGCCGGCCGAAGTCGCGAGCCTGCATCTGCATGGCCGCCGACTTTTGCATGAATATCTGTAGCATAAACGAAACGCCTGTGAGTAGGTACGCGGCGGAGGTGCGGACGATTGCCGCCGTGGAGGCGGTGGCGGCGGTGACGTCTTTGGGTTCATCATTTCGACAATTATGACGAAAATTATAATCGAAATAATAAAAAAAAATGCTATGCACGAGACGAAACTGCTGCTGCTGCTGCTACTATACTGAGCGCGGCTGCTGTACGCGGACAGAGCCGGTTCGGGACCGGTATACGGAGTGCGTGACGAAAAAGGGTACAACATATTATCTGCCAGCCACCGCGGCAAAAGGATTAACGGGTAAGGGGAGGGGGAAGAAACTAAAAAAATTGAAATACTCGTATATGGGGTAAAATAAACACGCCGCGTATTAGGTCTCACGAGGGTTGGTACACCTGACGTTTTAAAACCGTATGCGCGAGATCATATGTATTATAACGCGTTGAAACGAGGGATTAATTAAAAAAAATAAACCCCTAGTATAGGGTTGAATTACTAGGTTACAGACTTTTTTTTTTTATTCCGCTCTAAAATATTAATTGAAATGCTGCTTTTTTAACCCACCCGTGCGGTTAATTAAACCGGAGCAATTAAAAAATTATACTTCGTCGCCGCCTCCACGTCGCTGCCGTGTCATCGTCACCCGGTGTACCTAACACACTATTATTGCATATTATACTATATTATAGATTAAACACAAACGCATACACACACAACATATACTTAAATACAATAGCTCATACAGTATAATACAAGGGACATATATAAATACTGCATAATGTATACTACTGTACGGACCCAAGCATCATGCGAGTGCTTTGGTCGAGTACACATAAAATAAAATTGGCAAAAAATGGGAAAAAAACACGAGACGACACTACAACAACTACGGTTAAAAACAATAAACCACTTAACATTGATTGCATTTTCTCGGGAACGGTGATGGCCGTAATATAATATATTTTTTTTTTATTTAGCACCGACTGAAAGTATATAGTGGTAAAAAAGGGGTAAATCCATTACAGACACTTAACGCAGCCGATGTGATTTTTATGGATTCCGACGATGATTAAAAACTATTTTTTATTTTGCGCGCCCGAACGTCGTTTGACTGATATCTGAACATTTACACGACGACGACGGCCGACGCGCGTTGCAAATCAAACAAAGTACAGAAAAAAAAATTTAAAATAACAGAGGGAAATTAATTTTAATATTATTAATTTTGATTTACGCTGTACTCGGTGACGTCTTCCGCGGAACACAAACACACACCCCACGTGACTATGATCACCTGCAAAACACCACCACCACCACCACCACCGACGTAGTAGTCAACATAAGGTCAACATAAGATAGTGTCTACGACAGTTCGAAACACCAGGTGATGGTCGTAACGGGAAAAAAAAATTGAACAAACAACCCTTTCGGAAACCCGTCAAACACGACTAATGAACACTAATGAACTATTCAGACAGACACAATCCATCAACCCGTTCGGCGATGCGTATCAGTACTGAAATAATAATGATTATTATGACGGGAAAAAATATAAAGAAATCTTCCAATTGATTAGTATCGATCGCATTAACTGCAATACAATATAAAAACAAATACAGGCGGGCAGATTTGCGGAATGTATAATAGGGCGAGGAGGTTAAATTACAGTCGTGACTCGCGTCGTAGCATCGTCATTCATCAGCGACGTAGGTACTATATCATGTATTTAAGTCTATTATGTAGCTAACCGATTATGTGCCTACCACTCGGGTCAACGCACTGCACGATGATAACGCTTATCGTGTTGAGGTTGGTCAGTGTACCTAACCATATGCACGTAGAGGACGAGACCATTTTAAGTGGGCGATATGTACACATATTTTATTATATAATAATAAAAGATGACGAATCGAAAAAGAAATTATAAGAAAATGCCGTCCGAACGACTCGGTAGGGGGTCCCGTGTGGTTTTTGGGTTTCTGAGAGTTGGGATAATAGTGAGCGTGTGAGTGGTGGGATTCGGGTTCACGACCGGGCGGACGTATTATAATTAGATATAGTCTAAAAATAGCGGACAAGGACGCGGAAGGAATCCGGGCGAGTTGTTATGCTTCGCGGAAGACAAGAAGACCACCCCGCAGTCTTCGACCTGATTGATTTCTACCGGTGGCTAATATCATACAATATAATGACAATATTATAATGTCATAATATCATTACTATACAAGTTAATATCTATAGCGGTAAACGGTTTGAGCGCGTAACCGTTTTTAAAATTTGACGAGGCGATCGTGCACCGACGGAAACGCGAGCAGGACGCTCGCAACGCCGCACCGCCGCCGTTAGCCACATGTCGACGCGCAAGACCGATGCAACTGTTGTGTGTGCACTATAAATTGTGTGTAGGCGTGTTTGGGTAACGTTGGTACTAGGTTGTAAGAGTAAATAATAATAATAATAACTAAAAATATTAATATCAAAAATCTAGCAAGAAAAAATGTACCTATAGAATAAACATACCCCGGCGGCGGCGGGTTGACCTAGTTCAATCGGTGCGATAAACGCGTGTGCGGCGGTAAAAATATAAAATGTAAGCGCGAGTCGTAACTATTGTATTACTCACTTTGATTTGAAAGTCTAAACAATTGAATTTCATGATAAATCCGACGGACCGTCAAAACATTTTTCCTCGTTTTTATTCGAACAACTTTGAAATAATAATAATGATAACAACAATAAGTAGTTGATATATTATATTATTGTAATAGCTTATCGCGCCAACCGCGGCGACAATAACATCATCACGGCGGATTTCGCGGTTAGACGCCACCCGCGGTTGTTGGACGAACGAAGACGCAGACAGTACTGTACGCCGCGTCGCTACCGCCGACGTCGATATTAGCCTAGCCCAACGTTGACTTAGGTCGGGAACTTTACATATGTGCCGTGTGTGTGTGTGTGTTTGTGTGTTTGTGTGTGTGTACGTGTGTGTGTGTACGTGTGTGTGCGTACATGTGTTTTAAAGTGTATATTATAACTGGTGTTCTTTCTTTATCGCATCGCGTATACGTCACCAGACGTTTAACGACCTCGCGGCGAATCCGAACGATCACCCGCAAACCATTCGAGATTATAGTAATAATAATAATAATAATAATAATGCCTAATTATTAATAATATACCACGACGTTGCGGTCGCCCTAGTGTGGAGTGTCGTTACGCGTCCTGATATATTATTATTGCGCGTACCTCCCATGTTGAGTAGGTGTTGTTCTTTTCGCGGACGATGCGCGCACCACTCCGATTTTTTTTTAATACTTTCGATTTTGTTTTTAAAATTTGTTTTTTTTTTCACGGAAATAATAATATCATAATATAAAGAAAACACGGCTATGATGGGTTACTCGCCAGTGCAGTGCAAAACACGATAAATTAAATTTTGATCGGAGATTTTGTGCACCGCGCGGTTCGTGTGGCGTTTTTGGCCACCGAAATCAGATAACGACATTGTAATAACAATAATTTTTTTTCTTACTTTCGAGGGTTGGGCGGCGCCGTCCGCCCCGGGGCAATACTATAGGTTTACCTATTTATATTATAAAATACGCTCGCGCGGGATTTTCTTAGCAGAAAAATAAACGCGGTGGTGGCGTTTTATTTATGGCCCCATTCGCGTTTCTCGCGTGCCGCGTTCGAATTTATTTCTTTCGGAAGCCTCGACGACGTTTTTCGTTTTGTTTTACTACTCGCATTATAATAATATTATCATTATTATTGTTGTTATTATTATTACTATTATGTGTAAGTATTTGCGTATGAAATTGCTGGGTCCGAACTGCCGCCATTGTGGTGAGCCCTCCCCCCCCTTATGCACCATTAGTATCGCTAGGTGTTGTTTCCTCGGTCCGGCGATTTTAAGGCATTGTGTTCTGAGTAGTTTTTTTTAATTATTTTCGATTATTTTATTTTTATTTTTTTATGTTCGATACAATTTTTCATTGTTTTACAATAATAGGTTTACGGCGTACCGCTGCCGCCATCAGTCCTTCGGATTTCGGACCGCTTCACGGGTTGGCTTCCGCCAGCCGACGTGATTCGAATGCACGCACACTATATTGTACAATAATTTAAATACTAAAAAAATGTATTCCTCGTATCATTGTTTCTGCGATGGGAGCAAAAGGGCATATAATACGAGTATATAGTGACTAATATTGTTTTATCGGAGCATATAAGATATTACACAGACGGGAGCTAATTAAAATTGCGATATTTTTCCAAAACGTTTGCGTTCAAATATAATAATATAATATACATTATACAAATATATACGTGACCGGTGGTGGCAGAATTGGACCGGTAAAATGAAAGTTAAAAATTATAGATTGCATCTTTTAATATAATAATAGAACATAATAGTCAACAGATACGCAATATCATTATAATATAGTGTAAAATATTGTACGGCTACTATAAATACTAATTACTTTTTGATACATATTTTTTTGAGATTCAACATTAACAAAGAATCAATGCGATTAATGGCGAAAATCACAAAGAGGTATTATATAATACTCGAATAACTTAATTAATTAAAACAAGTCTTAGGCATTTGATCTATATTTTTTGTGAGTATAAAACTGCTATAGCATATTATATTATATTTTCATGAAACTAGCAAATGGTGCCTTAAGTTTTACCTATTAAACTGATAACATGTTTTAAATATACAATCGAATGAATGTGAAATTAATAATATTTGTAATTTATTTGATTATAATATTAATTACATGTTATAATATGTACATGAAGCCAATTCGATTCATTTAATTCATATGTACATAACAAAATTAAGATAAGATAAAATTTGATCGAAAAAAAGAAACATTTTAATACCGTTTTAATACCGTTTTAGTGGTGTTTTTTTTTTTATTTTAACCGTTGTAATACCGTATGTAAGAGATATGATTTTTTTTAATCCTCTTGTTAATGAAAAAAATAAACCGGATTGTCCCCGTATGCATGATGATAACAAACTGGGGTTTCTATTTAATAAAACAAAAGAACCGTGTAAAAAAAAAATATAATTTTTTAACAGCTGCTAACGGTATTTATTCTCACGGTTTCAAAGATGAACGGATCGCGGATGGACTTTCAATGACTTTTATAGATGCACCGGTGCGCTCGTATATCGCTCTAATTAACCTTGTCCGTGGCACATGTCAGCGTCATGCGTCTCCTCGGAGGAAACCGCGACGTGGATAGCGGGTTCGTGGTGGGGGGGGGGGGAGATAAAAAAAAGGTAAAAAGGAGAATTCATTAATTGAGTTTGGTCGGCGGAATCAAGATAGCGGATGGATGTATATTTACATACAAAAACACAATCGGACTTCATACGGCTATTATTGGAGGGACAAGAAGACGGCGCGGCGGTGGCGGTGACGGCGGCCGCCGTTACCAAACAGAAGGAGTATCCTTTGTTACGACAAAATGGTTTTAATTGACGTTATGCAAAACTTATAGAGGGTCATCGATCCTATATAACAGTAGAAAAATGGAATATTTTACCCCGAAGATCTCTATCTCGGGAAGTATATATTGACGGACGATTTTATATTGTTCGACCATCGGTTTTTATTTTATATTCGTTCAAAATCTTCAAACAGTTGAATTTGAAAAAGTACAATAATATTAAAAACAACATAATATACTACGGTACATGTATAATATTATGTATATATGTATATGTGGATCGTAGGTATATAATATGTTTTCTCGTGATAGAACCAAATGAGCAGCTTGATTTTTTCCACACGATTGCCTGCAAAGGGTATTTGTGTGTGAGTGTGTATATTGACAGGAGACGTCCGTAGGTAGAACGGTCGCGTGACCTGAAGACTTTTGTAATACGGTATTTTTCTTGGTATATTTTTAGTGCTCTCACTCCACCCCCTCTTGACTGATATAGGTATAATATATACTATATATATATACAAATAAACAATACCTATATTATGATGTGTTGTATAGCACACAAAAATAATATCGAAAGGAACGTGCAGTAAACAAATTTCAGTCGTATTACAATAAAAAGCGATTTTGACTTTTCGGGAGGGTAATAAAAACATGCAGGCGAAAAGTGAGCAAAATAATAATGATATAATAATAACCAAACAAAAATTCCACACACACACGCATAAAACACGCTATTCGTTCGAAATAAAACCATAAACAAAATGAAAGTACAATAAAATATTATGTAGAATACTATACGATTATACAATAAATTGTTATATGTAAAAATAGCGTACTGAACGAAAGACGTTCCAGCTGACTCGCTGAAGAGTGGACCAGCATTCTTCAAGAGTGCGGTCTGATATCGATCGGTTCTGCACATGGTGAATCCACAATAAGCAGCATTAAAAAAAACAATACACAAATGTATCTTTTTTTTCATTGGTTAGAGTCAAACTGTACAACACATTTTATTAGTTACAACATATTTTTGTAAGTATATAGGTCCAACGCTGTACTGCTTATAGGTTGGTAAGTACTACAAAAATTCGATAATCACAAATCGGATATTTGACAGTTTTTTTTTAATCGATAACAATATCGAATTATTCATAAGTAAAATTATCTTTTATTGATTATATTTTTATCTTTTATCTAATGTTAGTCTAATGTGGTACACTTTTATTCTGGCCGTTAAAAAATCCTGTTGGCAGTTATTATTACTCTTATATATTATTAGTTTATTATACGTTTATAATAATTATCCATATTTTTCATTTTCGAAATACGTTTGTCAGACACATGTTGTTTGGCTTCAATTCGGCCAAAGGGGTTGTGACTCGTGTTGTGTTCACGTGGTCACTACGGTTTGGTGTCGGTGTCGGGCGGCAAAAAGCTCTGAGTGAAGAGCGCGCCACCGCACGCTGGAACCGACCGGCAGAAACGCGCAGGTCCTTTCCGATTCCTTTTGCCCCTTCGTCCTTAAACTGAGTTTCCTTATGTCCTCCCCGTCCATATTCTCCATACACTCACCCACCCACAAGTTTTTACCACGCGAGTTACTCCTATTTTTTCGTAGGCAAAACTTTCAGGCCTCCCCTATACTAGGTACTATAAAAAAACTACGATCATTCTCAATAGGTATATTATATTATTGTTTTTATAGCATAAAAATTGTAATTATTATAATTATTATTATTAACGATAATATGAGTTTTTCTAGGAGAATTTAAAAACTGTGTCGAAACTAAAAGAACTGCAGTGGCTCAAATGGCCAGTCGGCACCCCAAAAATATAAAAATGAATTACTAAGGGCTACCCCATTTCGAAATACCCTACATGTTAATAGGGGTCGCGCGTGTTGCGTAACACCTCCTGGCGACCATCCGGTTGTGTAGCCCGTGCTCAAGCCGGTCGACCGGTTTTTATAAGGTTAGGCATTCGAGAAAAAAACTACCCCCGCAGGAGTTTGGGCAACAATGACCACGGCATACTGGTGTGCCGTGTCCAGTCGTACACTTCAATTTCACAATTCAACATACTAATTTTACACATTAAACATGATCATATTTTTTGGTAGTTAATAGTTTTATCATTATTTTTTTGCCGATATTTTTTTGTTTTATGTTGTTATTTGGTCAGCAGTGCGTTTTACTTGTAAGTTTATAGTAATGTTTTACATACTTTTAAAGCTTAGTTTGTTTGTTTGCTATTTTTCGTTACTGTACCTACTGTACAATTATTAGGAAACGAGATTTGTTTCGGCATGCTTTAATTTTTTAGTTTGAAGCCTTTCAAGAGGAATGAAGCCAACAGTCCATGCTTGGCACTCCATTCGATGTAAATTGTATAGATATTATTTATTAGTACTTATTAGTTAACAGTATAATAATATTAATTCATAAAAGTTTGATGCAATGAAATAAAACATTTAAAAATTCAAACCACTAATCAAACATAAAAATATTTTCGTTTGTTACAAAAACATAAATATGAATTTTTCACACATAAAATAACGGTGGTTGTAAGATTAATACCTAACATTAACTGTCAATACCTTAGTATCAATGTCAAGGTTTTTTTTTTTATTTTAACAGTTTATATTTTGGTTGCTTTATTGAAATTAATTTACATTTTCTTTCTCAAAAAAAAAACCTATCTGACTACATATCTATAATATACACTTAAAATAAATATTATTATACTTAGTATTATTTTTGTTCTTAAAAAGTTAAAATGAATTTGACTCTAGAAGATTTTTTTAAATATAATTGGGTAAATTAGAGGATATTTATATTATGAACATTTAAGTATTAATTATTTTAAATAATTGCGATTGAGTAACAAAATTAAATATTAAATATAATATCTTCGGCTTTTGCCTATCATAATTTTTACCTATAATATGTCGCTTATAATTACGTTTTTTTTTTCACTGGCCGTCATCAACTCTTTCTATTTGGTATTATGCCAACAATCTGTTTTGTATTAATATTATTTCAGTACATTTATTTTTTTACCTCGGTATAATTTAATTTTAAAAATAAAGATGTGTTTTTTCTACTTATTTCAATCCAAGTACACGTGCAGGCTTTTTTTTACTTAAAAATAATATTTTTTTTGAAACTTATTTGTATGTGATATATTTTAAAATAAATATATATTATGAACAATAAATAAAAATTTTGCTTTGAGATAAAACTGGAAATTTAGTTAAACATTTTATTCATTGATGTTTTAGATGAAAAATTTTTTTTTTTTCAAAGTTTAAAATACAAACTTAATTGCACACTTTGCTAATATTTTGAGTGTTACAATTTAAAATATTATAAAGACTAAAATAAACTATATTTTAACTATAAAATGTTTTTTGTCAGAGTATATCATTTTAATGTTTTTTCAAAGATATCATTTTATTTCATTTGTTTAATTGAATTGTATCAGCCTTGATAATAATTTTGTTCTAATTGTAATTATTAATTTTATTCAAAATTAGATTGTAATATATTTAATATGTTTTAATTAGACAAATTAGATTTGTAGCTTATAAATGTTATTTTTTAAAACTAACATAATTTCGAGACATAATCACAGGCAGCATATTATTATATCGTTAAAAAAAATTATAATAATCTCTTTACGGTGGAAAATATATTCCCTGTCAAAAAAAGTAAAATCCTGCACTTTTTTTTTTCATATTATATTGTTGAAAATTATTTTAAATCCAATTTCTCATTAGTATAATAAAAAAAATCTTAAAAAAAGTTGGATAAAAACACTCGTCGATAAATAAATTGTTATTGTAGAGGGAAAGCGGGTTTTATATTTATTTTGTGGACATAATATTAATTATTACAATGTAATAACGTGTGGAAATAAAAATATGGACTCACCTGTAGTTCGCTGACCAATTTTTCGGTCATCATTTTTGGGTCGCTCAGCACAAGAGAATTGTTCTGGTTGATGACGACGGATACGGACGGGTCGCCGGCGACCGTTGGTTGTCCAGCCAGTCCTGCGGCTGATGACGAGTCCTGCTGTTGCTGTTGCTGGACGGCTGCGCGGATAGCCGCCGGTGACGGTTGTCCGACGATTACGTCCGTGTCGTCGGTCATCTCGACGTTTTGCGCTTGTTGTTGTTGTTGTCGTTGTTGGTGTTGTGCGACTTGTTGAGCGACTATGGCGATTGCCTCGTCAGCCGTCACCTGTACGCTGTTCGGCGTCTGCTGCTGTTGTTGTCCGACTCCGACGATGGAGGATGGAACTTGCTGCTGGTCATGGTTGACTTGCAGCGTGGGCGGCGGTGGCGCCGCCTGAGGTTGTGGCGACGGCGAAGAGTCAACCGCCTGCTGCTGTTGCTGTTGTTGCTGTTGCTGCTGCTGCTGCTGTTGTTGCTGTTGCTGTTGCTGCTGCTGCTGCTGCTGTTGTTGTTGCTGCTGCTGCTGCTGCTGCTGCTGGAGTTGCTGTTGCTGCTGGTACTGTTGCCGCTGTTGCTGCCAGAAATCCGCGGCCGGGTTCATCTTGAACACCGGCCGTTGCAACAACACAGACTGCTGTTGCTGTTGGATGTCCGCCGACATTTCGTCGTCGTCGTCGCCCTGCAGGTGTTCGTGGCCGGGCGAGGCGCGAAGATCCAGCGGGACCGAAGAGATCGTCTTGACTGATGTGAAACAATTTTATGATAAAGTTTTTTCTCTCTGTTCGCTCGTATGTCCGGACGATGATCAGACACAGTGGTGGCAGCGGTAGTGATAGCCGTAGTAACAGTATTGGCCGCACATGACGCGCGTAAAATTCGTCCGGAAGCAATTCACTCGATCTGTACTACTATACGATTACGGAAAGAGAAAAAGGAAATTTTTCTTTCAGATCTGTAAAAAAAAAAAAAAAAATTCAAAACCCGAGAGTAAAAACGTGTTTTAAAACATAAAAAAAAAATATATGATAATATATTTTTGAAATAAAAATAACGAGACGAACGCGCGTGCCAGACGACTGAAAATTTTTTATAAATAAAAATAAATCATAAAATATATCAACGAACCGTGCGTAAAATAGTATTGCAAGCTGCGTTCGCGACACTTGCAGTATACGAAATTATATACTATCGGAGTGTCGCAGAGATGTATATAATTGTATGTGCGTGCGTGTACGCCTAAATCGGGAGTCGGGCACCTAAGGTGTTCGCGACGTCGGAGTAGTCTTGAGACTGAGCGACGTCTCAAGACGCCGGGCCGGAAAAACGTCGGCTGTACGAGCGCGGCGAACTGAGCGCGCGCGTGTGTATGTGTGTGTGTGTGTGTGTAGCACTCGCGGCGGCGGCGGCGGTAAGAGCGGTAAGAGCGACGGCGGCGGCGGCGGTGGCGGCGTCTTGTGTCGGCGTCGCGGCGCGACTGAGGAGATACGCGGCCAAGATGTCTTGGAGTCGCGGACATATCGCCGTCCCTGTCGGTAGCGTGTGCCGGCCGCCGCGCGCCGTCCTTTTCTACGGCCGTGCGCGCCGCGGCGCTATAGGGGTCGGGTTTTCCCTCTTAGGAAGAGCGCGCGGTACACCGCCAGACGTTTTCCTTACGTGCGTATTTCTGCGCCGGCGTCCGCCCCTAGCGCTCTCTCTTCTCTCGGTCGCTCGTCCCACCCCCGCCGCAGACGGCGAAGAAGCGATAGGGGGTGTAGTTTTCCCTCCGTTCTACCCTTATTCTTATTTTTTCGTTTTTCGTTTTCCCGCCCCAGCCGCAGCCGACCCAGCGCCTTTTTTCCGCTCCCCGCACCGCCCACCCACAATACGCTGCTCGGTTTTTCCGTTTCCTTTCACACCGTCTTCGCGCCCGACGCGACACGCTACTATCATTTAATAATAATTGTACACGATATATATGTACACGGCGCTACGCGAGAGTCCGAAAATTTTTTTTTATATTTATATTATTATTCTAATATATTATTATATTTAAGTTTTGTACATCATAATATCATGTATATAACGTAGTTCTGCATAGTGTATAATAATATTATATTCTGGTCGTTTGGTCGCATAAAGATTTACTTTTGAACGCTTCACACTAGAAACAATTGAGAATTCGAGAATCTAGTCGGTCGAATGAAAAATAATAATATCATAGATAATTTTATATTACATTATAAGGTATGTATAAAAAAAATTATATAGACTATGTAACATAGAGGTTATGCAATCGAGTGTCTTACGTTTGTGACTATATAGATAATTGCTTAAATCGTTCTGTTTGGTTTTTTTTTTCGTATAGATTTTAGTGAACTTTCATGACATTAAAACTCGTTTTTTATTATTCTGAACGTTTTTGTCGCCGTCTGGTGGCGCCGCCTTACGGACACCCTTCCCGAATTTAACCCTTCCGCACAGAAAGGGTTGAAACGTTTCGTATTTAGCCCGGAAGATATCGTTGCGACTGCCGTTTCAGAACGAAAACTATACAATTAAATTACGAGAGAAAACTTTGGATATTATATATTTTATATCAACATGATATTATGCGTAGAAGTAGGAACGTGATGACTGATGAGATAAAAATATGTGAGTAAAAAAAAACAAATAATAATGTGTAAGTAGTCACCCATGAGCATAAATTCAGCAACTCTCGTATTTTGTCTTTCATTCGTAATCGGGAAATAGTTTCCCATACAAGTTCCATACAAGTTTCCCATAGTTCTACATACAATATAAGAATGTCCTTGTGTGTGATATTATAAATTATAATAATCGAAAAAATAATATAATAATATGTCTTACATATTTTTATGCTGGAGTAGGTAATCGCCCCTGCAACGACACGACTCACTCACTGAACAATAACGATAAGACTCGCGATTAGTTATTACTTAAAATAGTTACATTGGAAACAAAAAAATCAAACTCTAATAATTCTAAGAATATAAAATATAATATTATTAAGCAAAACTGTTGTGTAAGAAAATCATTTACATATTACTATATATGAGCGTCGATTGATCGATCATCTAAACAAATATAAGCCGTGTGGCATGCGTCCACGTATAAAATAGAAAAACAAATATTGAAAAAGAAAATATAAATGCCTGCTAATAACATAAAATACATAATATAAAGATACTGTAATAACCTAATTTTTAAATCTAATTCTTGACCTAAAAACAGGCTAATAGTGCCTCGATGCAGTTTCCGGGTTTTTGAAATATATAAATATAAAATGTGTAGGAATAAAATATAAAAACATATAATTAATTATGCATTTGTGCAGTGTGCATTGTATGCGTTTCTGATAAAAAATACTGCAACGTTTGTTAACTAACTCGCGGGTTCAAAGATTTGTTCCTGAAATGTTTGCTGATATATCGTTATTATTCTTCCAATAAAAAATATGCAATATTATTATCACTTCAAACAAAGAGGTAATGAATACAAATATACTGTAATTTATGAATTTTCCGTTAGTGATATAATATCATAATATATGCATATATAAATAACCAAAACCATATTCCAGTTCAGTAAAGTTTTATTTCATAATATAATTTTCAAATTCATCCAACCCATAATCTTAATATAATTCCCGTGTATAGGTTTGTTAAATTTTCACAACAATACAATTATAATAATTATTTTGTTTATTTAAATCCACGATAATATGTTAAATTTAAAAAAAACCCCAAATATTCAATCGTTATTTTGTGTCTGAATTCAATTTGTGCACAAACATTATTGAATTGTTCGTTGTTAGCATTCCTTTTAGCTTTAGGGTAAGCAATGTAAATGATTATGAGTAAAGGTACTTGTTATTTGATACGTATAATAGGTAATTTGAAATCATTCTAAATTTCCAACCCAAGTACATAAACATCGGCCAGTGTCGTGTGTGTGGTCACTGGTCAGTGGTCACACATGAATTCCGGTCGTTTAAACTTAACATCTAGTCGTTACACAGATTAATAAATTAATAATTTGTATAAAATACCATGGTATCATTTCATGTGATCATTGCAAAATGCATCATATTTAAAATTTTGATATGTTAAGTAAACGCATATCAATAGACAAATTGCATTAGTTTTTTAAGGTTAAATAAATAGCCAACAGGTGAACTTCGCTTTAAAGATAATTATTACATATTAGCTTATTTACCTCGAGTAATAATATAAAAATTAATATCCATGGGAAACTATAGTTCCATTATCGCTGTATAAATAATTGTTATCGATAGAACATTATGCTAGTTTATTTAACCTCTAACGCGGTTCATTCATTTTAGCTAAGAAAATATTGTATAAACTATAAACATGGTTTTAAAAAAAAAAATCACTGACTACACAGTAGAGCACTAGTGCTCCGCTACATTTGTGTGTCCTAGAAACAAAATTGTAAGCTGGGTAGGTACAAATGTTTTTAGGTATATAGGTGCCTCTAGCCTATATGTATTACTTTTATTTTTGATCACTATTTAGGATTTTCAGAGTAAGAAATTCTCATAATTATTATACTTCAACTAATTTTTTTTCATAATAATTGTTTCAATGAATTTTATTTGTAAATTATATAGTATAAAAATGTATATGTCTGTTGAAAAATATTAAAATTATCGCAATTTTAAATCTAAATAATCGATATAACTGTATATAAAACGTAACGTAATTTTTCATAATAATATGTTTTTTCACTTTAAAATAGTATGCCATTCGGTATTCTACGTATTCTGCGTATTCAAAAATAAAAACATAATATACCATCGCTTCGTATAACGCTCGTAATATGATAATTTATTATTATATATAGACCGCGGGTATAAAACGGGAAAAGTTCATCGCCAGGTGCGCGGCCAACATGCGCCGTCTAATCCGGCGGAAAAAAAAGGGATGACCATCAATGGCCCATTAATAATAACAAAAACGAGTATTTTCATATGTGCGTTGGAACGAGCGCGTGCCTTTATACTTCATGTAAAAAAAAACGACCGAGTACTTATTATATTATTATTGTTTTCGGTCGACGGTCGTCGAAGAGGGATCCGGGCGCGGGATAGGTATGGGTTATATGTATACCTATGTATGATGTATGGCCGCGTTGTCCCGTTTTCGGTCAAAGGGTCAACTGGCGGCTGGTCGCCCCTTAAGGGGGGTGCCGGGAGACCGTTGCCGGGTGCAGCTGGCCCGCGGACATTTATGAATAAATTCGCGGGCATCGCGAGCGCAGCTGATGTGCAAACGTATTATATAATGTATATAGTATGTGATATACAAGTCGTCGCGGGTCGGCCGCGATGATGACCCGCGGTCTTTTGTTGTCCGCGGACGTAAATGAAAAAAAAAAAAAAATAACGAAAACATTTACAGCATTGTTTAACGAGAGAGACATTGCGAGAGTGACGAAGAGGAGAGAAAAAAAGGTCGTCGCGCCGTTATAGCTGGCATTATGTATTATACAATTATGACCTCGGGGCAATACAATCCCTTCGCGGCTTTTTGTTTTCTTGTCGCGGACACTACGACGGCGCGTGCCCCCCCCCCTCCAAACCAAAACCCGTCAGTGGAATATAATCGTATACCTGCATTATATTCCGCGATCGCGATTTAT